TGCATTTCCTACGAAAGGGTTTTACAGCTTGAAGATTGGATTGCAGGTCACTAGTCTCTCTAGCATCATAAGGAAGATGGGGAACCCTTCCTTGGCCGATTTTTCAGATCTTGTGTCCCTAGACAGTCGAGATTGCGCTGATGAATCAGTCATAGCAGCATTGTACACCCTTGAAGACACAGGGAAGGGACAATACAGTAACTTTGTCAAAGAAGCACTGGAAGAACGAAAACGATCTATTCATGAACCCATTAAATTAAACAAGCCAGCACTATTCAGGAAACCCAGTCCAAAGATTAAGTCGAAGCAAGGAAGGAAGATTAAAGCTCTTGAAAGTAATGTGTCTCTTTTTGGTCAGTTGTATATCTCAATGCAGAGCCGTGAAGGGTACTTGGAAGAATTCTTTTCTCATGAAGTCCAATCCTTTCCTCCCTCATTGTCAGAATTCGGCAAACTTTATTTGCCGGGCACAAAGTGTAAACTGATGAAATGCATTGAGCCACTACATGAATCTACGCCACCTGAAACATTCAGCTGTAAAGTATTGGATGATGCTGTCATCGTACACTGCTTGTCCATCGCTGGAATTACAACATTCAAAGAATACGCAGAGAAGGCTTTTATCCTTCATCTTCAGAATCACCTACAAGGAACAGAAAGGTTGGACATTGTATGGGACACATACAGACCGGAAAGTTTAAACGAGTCGACTCGTCAGAAGAGAGGAAAGGGGGTCCGCAGAAAGGTATCCGGAGAAACCAAGTTTCCACGAAACTGGTCAGACTTTCTGCATGATTCATCAAACAAAAAAGAGCTGTTTGACTTTCTAACCTATAAAGTGGCAAACTTTGTCTTCCCCGAGGGAAAGGCCGTTTACATCACTTCGGAAGAGTCGGTGGTAACGGTATGCCATCCAGTCCCATGCCAAACTGCAATCATGAAGAGGCCGACACAAGAATTGTGGTTCATGTACTACACGCACTTCATAATTCAGCAGGGATTGACGACTGGCAAGTTCGCACTGTGGACACTGATGTTGTTGTTGTCCTTATTGGTGTCTTTCACAAGCTGTTACTGTCACAGCCCAAGGCTGATATTTGGGTCGCCTTTGGAGTGGGAAAGAACTACAGCTTTACAGCATCAATGCTCTGTCCACCAGCCTTGGCACAAAAAGGTCACAAGCACTACCAATGCTTCACGCGATTTCTGGATGCGACACAACCTCTGCTTTTTGGGGAAAAGGGAAGAAGTCGTTCTGGCAAGCTTGGATGGCGTTTGAAGAGATTACAGTCACTTTTGTCTACCTAGCTTCATATCCTTTTAAGGCCCTTGATTCCAACTGTGAGAACTTTCGTAAGATTGAGCGGCTGATCGTCCTCGTCTACGACAAAACGAGCACTTCACTTTCAATCAACCAGACGAGGAGAGAACTGTTCTGTCTAAAGAACGTCACGATGGAAAGGATGCCACCGACGCAGAATGCCCTCCTACAACATACGAAGAGGGCTGTCTACCAAGCTTCTATATGGGTTACAAGTACCCAAGTACAGCAGATGATTCCTTCCCCAAGCGACTATGGCTGGGAACAAGTAGACAATGTGTGGAGCCCACTTTGGCTAACTGTTCCAGGGCTTTCTAAAGCCTGTCAAGATTTAATCAAGTTTACATGCAAGGGAGACTGTTCCAACTGCAAATGTGGCAAAGCGAACTTAATGTGTTCCCTGCTTTGCAACTGTAATTGCAATTCGTATTGCAGCACTCGCAGACGGGTGAGATGAGAGGAGATGAAACTTTAGATGTTTAAAGTACATACCGATTTACAGTAACTGTTAGTCGTATTTTTCAAACCAGGAGCAGTCTTAGTAACTGATCTAAGAGGAAAAAGGAGGCACTAAGAACGTTCTTCTTTAGTTGCCCAAGTAACTAGTTTTCGAAAGTTCCTGGATACTCCCCGCAATTGCCTGGAAAATATTCTGTTTAACTGGAATGCCTTATTAAAACAACCTATGACGATCATTTAATTTCGAGAGCGTGTTAACTCAGACCAAAAAAAGGGTAATTACGATTTATTGAACAAAACTTCAATTGATTTTTGTCATTAATTTAATAATATTTTTATTATTTAAATCATGCCTACCCAACAAAATTCTCTAATTTGATTGGCTTACGGAGGTGCTGATTTCAGCTTAATGAATAGTTTAATAGATTAGAAAGCGTCATGCGCAAGTAATCAAACAATACGCGCCATCTCGCCCACGCGCTCTTGAGTAGATTCTTTTTAAACGTCTAGCAAGAGAACTCTCGAAAACGTTATATTCTAATGTTTGGAAAGGTTAAAGTTATGAAACATTTTGTTATGGTTTTGATTGATTGGTGAACTAAGATCTTCGTGTTGTCCATGCCGGTCTGTAATCGTAATCATGTTTTAAACTCGTATGACTGAAGAGCGAATTGGACTGCAGCACTCAGTCCTATCATCATTTTTCATTACTTTAACAAACACGGGTTATAGTTGCATTACAAGTGCGACGAATTTGGAGTTAAAATTTTAGTACTTAGCGCCGCCATTTTGAATTTATGCAAATTAACCTAATTTTCCACGCTCTTTTTGATGAGATAGAGGAAATATTTTCGATGGATCCACGACCAAATTTAATTCTTACATCGAAAAAAGAGTGTATACAAAAATTGGTGCTTGTATCCGGCCAGTAACGATACTGACGCTAAGCGACCTGACTAATGGGATCTCATGCAAAAAGACCGACCAATTAGATTACGGTCTAGAATGTCTCCAGGGAATTAGCGATAACATTCCCACACTCGCCCGGTCACGGAATGAAATCTTTATTCCGAAAGCATAGGATTTGGAGGTTTATTCAATAAGTGATCTTCTTTGCGCACAAGCTTACTCACATTTCTTAGAGGTACAGTCAAAGTTTTCGCGTTATAAAAGCCGTCATCTGTGCCAAGGCTTTATCTGGCGATTCATGTTATTGGCGCTCAAGAAAGTCAGATGTACCGCAGCTGAATTGTAGCGTTACTGCAGCTACTTCGCAGCGTTTGAAAGTCGGCAACTGCGCTGCAAAACCGCTGCCTAGAGCTTCAAAGAGCCTTCAAAGGCTGCACAGCGCTTTTGCATCCCGCTGCAACTTGAATGAAGCTGCTGTTTGGCTTCTAAAAGGCTGCTGAACAGCTGTAATTTAGCTGTACAGCTATTTTGCAGCGATTTTGTGGCGCTGTACAGCGCTGCAAGTTTCGTACGGGTACCGTTCTAGAAGTATATTGTTTTAATGTGAGGGTACATGGGGTGGGTTAATAAATCATAATGAGACTTCTTAACACAAATAGGGCTGTATAGGTAAAAGGATTACAGAGGATAAGCTTTTTTATGGCTCAGTCAATTCTAAACATGCCCACCCCCCTCCACACTTGCATTTGTCATTTTTTAATTCGAAAGCTGCAAATGCCTGCCCCCACTGTGGGGCCAGTAAATACATACAAAACCTCATCATGGAAATAAAAGTTGGAACAAATGCCCCAGTATCAAAGCAAAAGTTAGTGCGTCACCTTGTAAAAAGCTGAAAATTGTTACTGTCAAACTTCGAAAACAGTGAACACCTGAAAATTTTCAGGAATGTTGATTGTGTACTGGCCAAACACAATTAAGTTCAGGAATATGCAAGCAAAACTCTAAGCCACAAACTCATTACCAATGCTGTTTGTGTGTAAGTTATCTCGCACCTTATTGCCTGATTCTTGTAACAAAATAATATTCCATAAATATTTCTGGTGTTCATGGTTTTGTGATTTTCACAGTAAACATACTTAACAACTTGACTCAGCAACCTTACAGTTTTCCTGATATCCATACAGACCCCAAAGACACTGCAAAGAGGACAACTTTACAACCCAAAATTACTTTAAGATAAATTTTCCATGGTAGACGTGGCAAACAGTATGGCATATACAGAGTGCATACATAAGTACAAGCTTAGATAGTACCCCTTAAGGGGGTAAGGTTAATTAAACAATGAAAAATTTCCTACCCAAATGACGCTTTTGTCAATGAAAAATTCCCACTGTAGGAACAAAATGCCAGAAAAATTCCCAGGGAGAATGGGTATGCTTGGATTTGACTGAGCATTAGGATAAATGAAATAAATATATCTACATGTACAACTACACAGCATTTGAATTGAGATAAAATCTTTCCAACACAGCGTAGAAGTACAACACAATAAAAGAAAGGATGATAATCTGGAATCGAAAAAATGCAACTTTTCAAAAACACAATGAGTCGGATTTTGAATTGCTGTTAAAACTCGTTGTAGTACATGCTGGCTGTTTTGTTAGCTTTTTCAAAATGTTTTGTTGACGTTGTCAAGCATTATCAGAAAATATTACAGCTCAGGGTTCAGTATGAAAGCCACTGTAAATAATTAAAAGCAAAATATAGAAACGACACCAACTAACATGCACCGAAATAATTCTTT